ACCACTACCAGGGGTATTTTCGCGCCGCCGATGGCGGCGCTCGAGAAAAACCTGCCGACAGTGAGTTTTTAACAACCTACTCAATGTTTCTTTCTTGGCTAACGTGCCCCCCACCAGTGGAGCCGTCGGAATGGACCGGCGTCGTTTCGGCGGAGTACCACAAAGCACTGAGGGACGCAGGAATCGATCCCGAGAGCAAGCCGACGACGGAGCAAGTGCTCGACGCACTGCCACACCTCAAGAAGTGGGTGGCAGATAACCGCTCGGCCGTGATCGACTATAGGATCGACAGCGGCGCGTTCGCCGGCGACGTCAACAAGGTTGCGGGCATGTTAACGAAGATGGTACGTTCACAAGTTGCACTGTATGCATGCAGCCGCTGATCAGATCGTTTCGCAGTGCACCCTGGCATACGACGAGCTGGGAGTTCATGCCTTTGGTTACATCGTCGACCCAGTCGGTGGGGAGAGCCGCAGCTTCGGCGGATCGGAGGCGACGACGACGCTCAAGCTTCAGGGTGGGCTCGACCAAAAAAAGCTCATCAAGACCTACGAGCACAAGCTTGGGTACGTTTTGCTTCGTTCGTTCTATAACCCGCCCATACACTGTCTCATCCTCGCAGCATCATCCAGGCGCAGTTGGAAAAAGACGGCAGCTTGGCGGATGGGGAGGAGGGTCCATCTCCCCCATCGCACTGGGTGAGCGATACCTGGAATCGCGATAAAGGGCGTGCGTTCATCAAGGATTGTCTCGTGGAGGACCAAGGTAAATCGGGTCCCTTCTTCGCAATGTTCTGACTCTGACCAATTTCGCAGTCAAGATCGAAATCGAGCGTGGGGACCTCGACGCCATGGAAGAGGGGGCGGTCAAGTACCAGATGAGCTGGACTTGGTCCGACCACGCTTTTCAGAAGCAGCTGCGCATCGAGAACTGGCCGACTGCGATGGCGGCAGACGGACGGTATCCGAAGCAGTCGTTCCAGCAAACTTCTTTTGGAAACAGCGACCTGAAGGCAATCATCCCCGCCATGGAAAAGGCGCGGGGGAATGCGAAGTACGAAGACGACGATAAAGTGGATGTGGCAAAGGCGCTCCACGTCGTTGAGTGGACTGAAGGTATGTCTTGAACTCCGCGCCGGCGACTTCTGGATTCTGACTGTGTTACTACAGCTGAAAAGCTTCTGCCTCTGGAGGAACAAGGCGACATCGTCTTGGTGAAGGCGATCGACGGTCAAGCGCTCGTCAAGGTCTCCGATTCAAAGAAGTTTGTGGTGAAGTGCGGAAAGACTGGGCGAGGACGCGGGGCCAAGGGCACTGCAAAGCCTCCTAAAATCAAGGAACGACCGCGGTCGTCGTCGGTGGTCAAGCGTGGAGCAAAACGGGATCGATCGTCGGACGGATTTAGTACACCTAGTGCCAAAGACACCGCCCCTTCCTCCCCAATTCAGCCTTCTCCCAAGCATCCTCGACACGAGCCGCCTCCTTCCCGCCACACGTACTCGCCACCCCCGTTCGCCGCCCGAGCGCGGCCCTTCGCTGCCCTGCCACCTTCGTTCCCTCCCGATCGCCAGGCTCCCTTCGGGCGCCCTGGTTCGCGCACGGCGCCTTATGACGCGGCTTATCCAGAACGAGGCCGAGCTGGACCGTCGAACCTGCCGCCTGGTCGCTACGGCGGGTACGACGATGAGCAGCAAGGACGCTCTTACGATGACGATCTTAGATACAGGGGTGGCTACAACGACTACGAATACGGACAAGACCGTCGGCTTGGCACGGCTGCACAGCTCGGGAGACCGCGTCCCCACTACGGGTACGACAGCAACGGGTATCACGAGCCTGGCTACGGGCGGGCGGCTCCGTATGCGCGCGAGTACGAGTACCACGGCGCTGGCTATCCTCCTTTGCAGCCAGAGTACGCACCCCGAATCCCCGCCCGCGACTATCATCCGCAATATGCGCCCGTGGACATCGGCCCTCCGATGCGGAAGCCGCCAAAGAAAACTAGCCACAGCGCTGAATCTCCCTCCGCCCCCCCCTCCGCCTCGGAAAAGCGTCGCTTGCAGGCTCTTGTACAGCAGTACAAAGAGGAAGACGACGCGCAGGTCCAGGTCCAGGCTCGCGTGGGCACGGATTTGGCGAAGAGCCCCGATATCATGGGCTACGTGCGTGCTGGTCCCGACGATATGCGGACGAAAGCAGACACAAGGACTTTTACCTGGAACGTGCCACTGGGGAAGTGGCAGGCGATGAACAAGGGGCGATTCGAGCCGCGACCAGAAGACAGAAAAACGTATGATGATTGGGTGAAAAAACTGCAGCTCTTTTGAATCTCGTTGCGTTGCTGATCGCTGGTCCTGAATTCGTATGTATGTACTATGCCACCCATGTTTTATGTTTTATGCCACCCATGTTCTATGCGCGTCGTTAGATTGTACCACATACGATCGTTCCACACTATCGAATAGCTGAAATCGAATACAAAAATGTTAGGCAGTTCACGGAAAGGGCAAGATTGCAAGGTACGTATGTAATTTGTGCGGGAAGAGAGGTGCAATAAACGCCGGAGAATCTAGGTCCATTTGAACACAATGAGCGACAGACGTGGCCGCGTTGAAGGCCACGAGTGGGCGCTGCGGTTACCGTTTTCGGCTGATAATGGGAATTGGTGGGTGGCACGGCTTCGCATTTACGGTATTTAAGCTGAACGACTTGACAGCATGAAACGCCCACCCTACCCCGCTTTTTACCATGCCCGCACAACGCTCTCGCACTACCAAACCCCTTCCCTTGGAGGGAACCACTGTTGGGCGGATGAACACCATCTGGGCCGACTTCCTGGCTCAGCCGCGCTTCGACATCAACGCGGTGGACCCCAAGAAACCTAGAGCGGTCATCTTGTACACGAAGGCTGAACTCGATTCGAAGCACTGTGGCGGCCCCGCCGTGGGCACGCCGTGCCTGCATTGTGGGCTGCGCATCCCGGCGTGGGGTTGCGGCGAGTACAGTGTGGATGGCGACGATCTGGCTGGAGTGTCCGCCCACTGCAAAGCCTGCTGGCAGTTCGCTTGGGCGAACAGCCGCCTGGACGTAAAGGACCTTGAGGGACCGCTGGCTGTTAAGCCCAAAGTACGTCTGTTAGCCCGCAGGTGGATTACCTTGACTGACGCATCGCTTAGTGCGCATGCCCGCCAGGATCAATGGCGTGCGCGGACGTCCCGACGGGCTGCGACCTACACAACGGTGCGATGCGTTGTTTTTATCTTCTTCCTTGTTCTCATGGCTCGTTTTGTCGTGCAGTCCCTGCCATGATCCCTGCGCCTGCCAGTGTTCTGAGTTACTTGCGTTCGATGAATCGCGAGGAATATTACGACGAGATCTCAAAGCGATTGGAGAGGTACGGTGACCGTGTGGAGAAGTGTGTGGAAGGGTGGACCAAACACGCCGAGCGGTACTCGCTGACCATGGATTTGCTTACCGAGCTGAGGAACACTCGCGTCGCCGACTTCCGCTTGCCCCCGCCTTCCCCGCCTCCTTCCCCGCCTCCTTCCCCGCCTCCTTCGCCTCCTGCCGCCCGACTGCCGCACCCCTATGTGCGCCCTGCCCGGGTCTACGCACCGAAAATCCCGGCCGATTACCCCCGGCGCCGCCCAGCGCCCGCTTCGGATGATGTCGCCGCGACGTTCTATAGTTACACTCATTAGATTGCTTCACAGCGAGCACTTCATATACTCTGTGTACAGTACATGTCTATGCCTGGAATTTTGATACGATATGGACTTGAAAGTTTTTTTTTTGGTACATATGTGCACGGATGTGAAACCGAGTGTAGTATACTTGTACATGAAAGTAGATAGTTTCTCGGGGGAAGGGTTCGCAACCCTGCGCACCTCCTTGTCGTGGACCCCCGGGCTTGCGGCTCTCTACGGAGAGCTTACCAAGAGTGCGAAAACAATGCGTCCTGGATAGGGAATTAAACGACATGCGGGTGAGTCCGAATCTGGAGTATGTGGCCACCACTCACGCTTTGCGTCCAGATTAGGTATATAATGGGGGGCGGGTGGCATAACCCGCTACTCAACTTGACACTCAACTTAACACTCCGATGCCCGCCACTCGCCGCACTCGCCGCCAACGCCCTACGAAACCGCCCTTGCCGCGCATCACGGACCCATACGCGCCGAGGGAACGAGGATGACCCTCTTCCGGTCACCGCGGAGGAGAAAGGGAATTAAACGACAAAACTTCTGTACTTACCAGAAACGAAGGACAATGGGGGGCCATTGTTAGAGAGTCGCGGCCACACTGCGGATGCTTTTGAGTGGGTATAAAGGTGCGCCGCAAGTCAACTGGCCGGAAATTATTATTCACTATGCCTTTTGCGCGACGCTCTCTGAAGACCTTGCCCAACCTTGCTCCCTCACCGTTTGATCGGCGTTACGGGCGGCGCCGTACGAAGAAGGGAAGATCGCCTGCGTCGGTCCACCCAGCTGTTCGGGAATGCGCGGAGACTCGCCGCCGCCGGACTGAGCGTGGTATGTGTATCCTTTTATCTCCTTTGCTCTTCTTTCCCACTGAATGTCGTTCCAGCTCCTTTTGCCTTCGTGCTTTTGGCGCATCGGGCTACGTGTACGTGCCACCCTCAGCCTACGTTCCGTACGTCGTCATTTCCCTTGTATTTTTTTGCCGTTAGTGACGATGTTCTTAGAACAGGATGAATTCGCCGGTGAACACGTAGAGTCGTGGTTCCGAATCCCCCGTACGTTGTACACTTTACCTATGCCTCGCTTTGCTAACCTTAATATCAGACCTAGGACAATACCGTGAACTTTTTGGCCTTGTTTAAATAAAGAGCGTCCTTATGTATCATATAGTTACAATCGTTCAGGATTATGACCTGTATCCTAGAGCTACACATCATTGAGACATGACTTATTTTTTCTTTTCTTTTGAAGTACTACATGTCTGCCGAATGTGAAATGTTCGCCGTTTAACGCTTGCATGGACTGAGTGGTGTAATGGTAACATCGTCGCTAATCATTGGTTCCTGTTCTGAATTGTTTATTAGTGCGGTTGTGGGTTCAAATCCCACCTCAGTCATGGCTTTAATTGCTTCAATGCAGCTTAAAGGTCCTTTTTTTCCCCCTAGAGCTCTGAACAGATTGTGAGGTTAGAGGGACTGAGGGTGATACCTTGTATCGGCTGCGTGGTGTAGTGGTAACACCCCACAGCGCGCCCGGCTGACATCTTTGCTGTGCCAGTTCCTCCGATGCGCCGTCTGCCACAGGGCATTCCCCGAGTGCTCGTTGCGACGACCGGAGGGCTGCGCATGCGCGGCATCGCCTACAACGCCCTGGATATCGCCGTCAAGTCGTGGCGCAAGTGCTTCACCACCCGAGAGTGTCCAATTCGTGCTTTACGCCCTCCGCCGAGCCGTACGTTCTGTATGCCCTGTCGTTCGGATGCTTACTGACTTCGTTCCCTTTGCTCAGGCGCACTCAGGCTAGTGAGGGTGGGGACGCCTTACGCCCTTGACGCCGAACAACGCCGCACAGCGCGAGAGGAGAGAAAGGCCGCTGAGAAACGGAGGCAGGAGGCGGCTGTGGAGGAGGAATTCGGGAAATTTACGGGAATAGATATCTGATGTTTGTTGGTTTTTGTCTCGTCGCCTTGTACAGTACCAAGGGTTCTCATAAATAAATTGTGTTTGCGTTGTGTATCCACTCCTGCCAATTAATTGCTCATTACTTTTTCTAGTATAGTAGGAGTAGTATTTCGATAAATTGAAGTCAAGTCTCATTATTGACTGAGTGGTGTTTCAATGCGGCATCTCAAAGGGTTTTATTTTTTTATTTGTTTTGTTTTAGACCGCTAGGAGGGTAGACTCACTGTATGTAACGGCTGAGTGGTGTAGTAGTAACACCGTTGCTCTCAATTGTGGTACATTACACAATATGATTCGGCAAATGACGTGGGTTCGACTCCCACCTCAGCCATAAGTACATGGCGCCTTGGTTTTTTTTGTTTAACTCGCGCCTTGTGTTTCTCGCTTTCGTTAGTGATTTCTTCCCAATTGATAATAGATTTCGATTGATTTCACTTCTGTAGTTAGGTTCGAAGAGATAAGATAAGATAATAAAATTCCTAATCGGGCTGCGAGGAGTAGCAGTCTAAAAAGGGCATCTAGTAGTCTAAAAAGGAAAGATAAAAACTGCTGAGGTAGATGTTCTGCCTCAACGTGGAGGCTCCCAGTAAATGGTGTGGGAGCTCCCAGCACCTCCCAGAGTCACTCCCAGGATCATTTTGTGTGCCAATTCGACGGCACTTGCCTTTTATCTGGCGGGTGGGAGGCTCCCACCACCTACTCCGGGAGGCTCCCACTACTGAGCTGGGGCCTCCCACCACTTGGCATGGAGGCTGCCGGACATTGAAAACAGCCAAGTGGGAGGCTCCCAATGTTGCACTGGGAGCCTCCGTATCAGGTACGTTTAATAGATTATGTGCATCATAGGCTTCCAGAGCCGACCATGGGAGCCCCCATTGAAGGTTGTGGGAGCTCCCGCGGCTGACTATGAAAGGCATGGGAGCCCCCATTAAGGTGTGTGGGAGCTCCTGTAAATGATGGCGAGGACATGGAATCGGGCAAGAAAGGGCCTGGAAGGCGCTGGGAGAGTGACAATGGGAGCCTTCCAATACTGATTGGAAGTGTGCGGGAGTGCCGGAATGATATTGGAGGCTTGTGGAAAGCAGGTTTTGACTGGCTGGCTGGGAAGGTGTAATGCAGCAGATAAATATAAGAGCATGAGGATGTGATAGAAGATTTCACATGGAAAATTTGTTCTTCCAATGACAGACAATGGACAGAGGTTCATTCGTAAGGGCCAAATTGTGAGATTTTTTCTCGGCAGGTCCACAATCACATCACAGAGTGGTATGTGTGTCGGCAGTAAGCATACGGTGAAGAAGAAAAAATAGAGCAAACAGAACCATGCTGAAATATCATCAGACTCTTGGTGTGCTGTGCGCGGCAATAGAACCAATGAGAGGTGGTAGGGATAGTAGTAATACTGGTACTGGGGTAGGATGCAAAATATGGGCAAACGAGCTGTTTTTTTGGGGGCAATTGCAGGGTAAAGCAGCTTTTGGGGGTGTTTTTGGAGCCGGCCGTGCTATGCGCGGCACCCATGATGGATGTGTAAAGCTGCGGCTCCAGCATGGATCCAGCAGAATCGATTTGTGGACCGCCCCAAAAATCCATTTTCACCGGCAGCCAGGCGGTGGACCAGCTTTTTGGCGGCGCAAAAACAGCTGCAAATGCTGATTTTTTCCGGCCGCGCTATGCGCGGCACCCATGATGGTCCTATGATGGTCCTGCTGCAGCACGGAGCCAGCAAAAACGATCCCTAGAACGCCCTGAAAATCGATTTTTGCCGGCGGCCCCGCTGGGGCCGCCAGGGGGTGGGAGCTCCCAGACTGGGAGGAGAAAAGGCTTCCAATATGTGTCTCATCTACCACCCAGTGGAGGCTCCCAAGGTGGAAGTCTCCCCCTTCCTGGGGCCCAGTTAGGGTAGTTATACCATTGGCCCATAACCACCCTAACAGGGTGTCTTATATGTCTGCCTGTAGTGCAAAACCTCACAAAAGTGTCGGAAATTGGAAGATTGGACTATAAAAGTGTCGGAAAGTTGAAGAAAGTGTCGGAATAATAAAAGTGGATTTTGACCGTCATATATCTGAGTCTTTTTTGTTCGACCCACCTCAAATATCATTCAACCTAGCCGAGTTCAAACATAGGTAAGGGAAGACCCGTAGCGGTGGGCCGCACCTGCATTCTATGCTCTGTCTCCCACATTGGCAGTAGGCACCCGTTCGATTCGGGTTCGGGTCGTAGGTCTTCGTGGATTTCTTTGTTCCATGAATCTCAAATTCTTTCGACTTATTCAAGCTGTAGTGCAGGCATGGGAGGACTTGTAGTGTGTAGTGGTTGGCCGCGCTTGCACCAGCTTCGTTTCTTGGTACATCTCATGCGGGTACGCGTTCGATTCAGGTTCACGCCATATGTTGAGCGGCTTATTTTTTCTTCTGTCTCAACCGACCTCAAATGCCTCCAACTTAGCCGGGTTCAGATACGTAAAGAGAAGACCTGTAGCGGTGGGCCGCACCTGGCTCCAGTACTTGACAGCACCGGCAAGTCGCAGGCAACCCGTTCGATTCGGGCTCGGGTCTTGGACCTTGACCAGGCTTTAACCACTCCGCTCAAATTTCACTCACTTGCTTATGAGTAGATCGGAATGGGTTCATGCAGAGTTGTAGCAGTGGTCCGCACCTACTAGTTTCGAGAACTTCGACGCCGGCGCCCGGCGTTCGATTCAGGATCGGACCATAGGGTCTCACCGAAGTGATTTTTTTTCGGCACTCACCTTGAATTCATTCACCCTGGTGTTCAATACCGGGGAGACAAAAGGCCCGTAGCGGTGACCGCACCTGCAATCCATAAATCATGCCGAACATTCGTAGCAGGCACCCGTTCGATTCGGGCTCGCGTCTTACCGCACTTTGTTATCTGTTCTTTTGTTCCACCCTTCACTTCAAATCCGTCCGGCTCATTTATGCTGAAGTACAGGAAGAAGAAGACCTGTAGCGGTGGGCCGCATCTACGATTCATAAGAAAGGAAAAAATACAGCGGGCACCCGTTCGATTCGGGTTCGGGTCTTCGGTAGAAATTCTTTGAGTCATCTTTTTGTTTTTGTGCTCACCTCAAATCTCTGCAACGTATCCAGGTTGAAACACTAGGGCTATAAAGACCTGTAGTGGTGGGCCGCACCTGCGACTAACGAGACGGATTCCCATATATTCAACAGGCACCCGTTTGATTCGGGTTCGGGTCATTCGTGATTGTCAAATGCTTTTGTTTCGCTCACCCGAATCCCTCGACATATTCAGGCACCTGACCTGCCCAAATATAGCAACCGGTTAGACGGCTTGATCGGACTGATACCCGCCGTCAACTAAGTCGTTCTGACCATGGTATCCCTTACCCGCCGGTAGCACCCACTTGTAAATACACTTTTTTTGACTTGGGCTCCCCGTTGGTACTGGCAATGCACGTGCCTCCTCGGGCCGTGTTCGGGTGTTCCCGTAGCCATCATTCCCGCTGCCGCCGCATCATCTGCCATCCCAAAACGGTCGACCACCGCGGCACATGGCTGCTCGCTGTGTCACGGCCGTCACGTACTGTTACCGTCGCTCGGCTACCATCGGCTAACTCTGTGAACGTCGGGCGCGTGCGCCCGGGCGGCGTGCTGCTTGCCCCTCCTCCGGCTTGCAATGTACACCCTTCTATGACCCCTATGCCCCTTATGCCCCTCCTATGGCCTCTATTCCCGCTTCTGCTCTCTTGCTCGCTTCCACTTCGGCAATTATTCGCTACATCCGCTCGACGGCACGCTGGCCTCTTGCCTTCTTCCCACCAATCCAATGAACACTATTGCACTATCTGTAGTGTGCCGCCATCGTTCCCTGCACTGCGCATGATCTTCACTGGGAGAATTCCGTGCCTTATCATGTTTTCATCTCATGGTGTGTGATTCCTATTGGTCAATCGTTCTCTAAATTTTTTTTTTTCATGTGTAGCGCTGGTCTTATGAGCTACCCCCCGGGTCTTTCGTTTATCCCGGGCAATACACCCGCCCTGCGCGCCGACAATAAATTCGTGACCATGGCGTGGATGGGTTTCCTTCCCAATTCCCCGTCCACCGTCCTTCTGACGTGTTCGCCGCGATGCCGCCCAAGGGGTTGTCCAACGGTGTCAAGATCACATACGGCAATCGAATACGCACGACAAGAAATGTTCCTCTGAATAAAACTGGGAAGCAGCTACGGGAAGCTAACGAAGCTTTTCATTCGCGGCTATCTAGTATGTCAATTTCCTTTCTGTTTTATGTATGCTAACTAGTTACAGCTCTGAGCTATTCCCAACGGCAAGATTTGGTGGACATCGACTCGGACACCTCACCGTACTACCCCCAAATGGCCGGCGGCGATGACGGCGATTGGGAGTCCCTCGACGGCGCCTTTGCCTCGTATCCTCCAGGTGAGG